TAAAGAACTTCTCAAATCCTGGCATTGCATATTTCATGGGGCAATAATTTGTTACCAGTTTATGAGCTGGTAACAAAATTTATCGGTTACAAGAGTACACAGAATGCGAAAAGGGTTTAAAATTGACAGGAACTTTATTTACCGGTTACAAACTTTTTATTACCAGCGCAGAATAGACCTGTTAGTGACATAAACAGAAGTTGGCTGCGTTTCATTTATGTCAAATTCAACATGCCAAGTTTGCTGCGTGGCAGTGGCAGTGAATTTAGAATTTGGGCTAAACTGATCAGTGCTGCTAGCTGCCACTGCTGTATTGTTAGTCGCTTCATTGAGCACCATACTTTCTAAAAAACAGCTGATTTCGAAAAACTGCCACTGCCACTGCGTTATTGTATTTTGGGCTATATGCTCGCGAAGTAATTTTCCATCGAGCCTTTGCTATACGTACATGTGCATATATGAATGAACATACAGTTGTGTATTGGCGGGAGGAGTTTTAAAACGTAACTTTGTACATGTAAATGCTACATATTGTAAATATGTGAATAAGACAAAATGCAGATGGGAAAAGAACAGTAATGAGTAGAGCCTTTAAGTAAATACATATTTACAAATAATGTTATGCGATAATGTTTTCGGCGGCAACATTGAATAAAAAATATTAACTGTTGTTTTGCGAACATATTTGCAAGCGTATTTACCAGTGTTTTAGTGCTTATCTAAGAGCTTAAAACGGATTTTTTCTTGCTTATTTTCTTCGGCCCTGGTAATGACATATTTCGCTGTTATACCATGTTCGGACCGACATCGAAAACATGTTTTCGTTGCTATAACTGGTAGTCGACCTAAAATTTGTGTTTTCGTCCATGTAAAATCTGTCAAACGAAAACCAGTTTTCGCTGAAAACTACTTGAAAACTCACGTTCCACTCATTCCAATCAGTAACTTCACTAGCATTTTAGACACATTTATCGCAGTGGAAGTCATATTTTATCAACTTGAATACGCTAGCTGGGATTTATTGTCAATTGGCTGGCCAAATTAAAATATGAGCAAAAGAAAAAGGTTGCTAGTGATAAGAAAGTGAAAGACAAAGATATTGATATCGTTTTTTCGTAGCAAAACGGTGCGAACGGCTTTCAGCCCACAATCCAAAAAACTCGTTTTCAAAGTGTTTTCGTTGTCGGTCCGAACATGGTATTAAATAATATCTGAAAAGTCCTATGCAAATCGATTAATCGATGTAGCTCTTCGATATATCGATGTACATTTCGATGAATCGAATCAAAGGTATACACATGATTCAATAATACAAGGTTCGATAAACTGACAGTTGTCCCTCTCGCACCGCTTCCTTAGCAGTGGCGCGGTGTTGCATCTTTGCAAATTTACTTGGAAAAAGTGTAGCTTTGCTGTGAAATAGAAGTATAAGCTTTTATGCAAATTGTATAACTGTATATGCACATTAAGGACATTAAACTGATGAAAACATAAATTCTTTTTAAATTGNCGTACTCGGTTCTCTGACTATTGAGAGGACAAAAAAGAGAGTAAATGAGGTCCTCTCTCAGTCAGAAGTTACCAGTTTTAGTCCGAGAATTTTTTGCTGGTAAATTCTGGTAAATGTGTCAAACGATCAGCTGTTGTGCATTTGACAAAACATTTGTAAACAAAAGAAAAATACATTTCGAATTTACATATTGGAAAATAATAAAATATACGTGAAAAATGGATATTGATGAAGAATTGTGTGAGTTAGTAAGTATATTTGAAAGTTTAAATGTGCATAAGCTGAAAATACATATAAAATTTTAAATCGCAGCAAGTTTCTGAGGAAGCTGGCAGCACGGAAGTTCTAGGTGAAATCGGGGCCAATCTTATAGGCACGTGGAGTGAATTATCTGAGTTAGTAAGTACATTTGCATAGTTAATTCATGCGAAAAGAATGTGTATGTACATATAAATATAGATAAGTATATTTAATTTTAAATTGCAGCAATCTTCTGAAGAAGCTAGCAGCGCGGAAGGTTTAGCTGAAATCGTGGCCAACCTTATGGATACATCGAGTGAATCGGGTGAATCAAGTGATTCCAGTGACGATGAAATAACGTTTTCAGAAATAAATCGCAAGCAAAATGAAATTTTGAGCGAAGTGTTGAAATTGTTTAGCAAACAAAAGAGAAACAACATAAAGAACTATTTGGAGGATGTAGTGCCTAATTACTCCGAACTAGAATTTAAACAACACTTTCGCATATCAAAAGAACTGTGCATCAACTTGACAATGCGATTCGAACAAAGCGATATGTTCAAAAACTTGCGCTCTGACAAACGTTTCCCAGCAGCAACCCATATTTTGGTTTTTTGTGGTTTGCTGGCCACGAGGCCTGTAGTAATCGCGATATATCAGATCGATTTAATATTTCGTTGTCAAGCGTTTCACGAATCATCGAACGAACCACGATTTTCATAAGCAGCTTGAGTCCGATGGTAATTGAATGGCTAGATGAAGGGAAAAAACGTGAAGCTGCTAATTTTTTCCACAATAAATGTGGATTCTCGAAAGCAATAGGTGAGGAATAGTTTTTCTGCTTAATTATTACTTTAAGGGCCGGTTACTCAATGTCTGGTTAACACTAATCTGCGGTTAAACATCGTTATCGACGTCTTCGACTCCATGCATACAACAGGGAGTCGGTAACGTCGATAACTATGTTTAACCGGAGATTAGTGTTAACCAGACATTGAGTAACCGGCCCTTAGAACGTAAAGTGTTAACTTTTTTCTCATTTAGGTTGCATCGATGGAACACACATAACCATTGATCCGCCTGCTCAAAATAAAGATGAATATATTGACAGGAAAGGCAACACAACGCTTTGTATGCAAGCTATATGCAACGAGAAGAAAAAGTTCATCCACATATTTGTTGGTTTTCCTGGGTCGAGCCATGATAGTTGGGTTTTACAAAACTCCCCAGTCTATGAAAATCTGCCCTCGCTATGTGGAGGTTAAAACCATTTTTTTACAATTAAAAATGTTAAAACATTTACATTTTTTACAGAGTACTACTTACTTGGTGATTCAGCATATCCTTGCAGTGAATATCTAATGACGCCTTACAAGGATAATGGCCATTTGACAAGGCAACAAAAATACTACAATTCCAAACTGAGTAAAGGTCGTGTTGCAATCGAGCATAGCTTTGGTCTTCTTAAGCAAAGGTTTCGGCAATTATACTATTGTAAACTGAGGGGAATTAAAAAACTGTGCCATTTTATAAGAGCATGCTGCGTATTGCATAATCTTGCTAATGAGGATGATATAGAATATTCTCCAGAAAGCGAAGTTGTAGAAAGCAATGAAAACGAACCCACGGTATCATCAAGAAGAAATCTTCGAAGAGATTTAATATGCGATGAACTTTTCTCAAATAGATAGATAGCAACACAGAATAGTATATCGTCCCGTTTCTGCCTTAATCTCGTATCTGCAATAGAGGTAATTTAGAGAGTGGTAGAAAAAATGCTTCATTTCTTCCCCTAGGATACAACAAACGCATTTTTTACTTATATTTCTGGTTCCACTAACAGTAGTGAGGACCTTCATTAAGTCTTTGTTCTATTTTCAAATAATGTGACGCTTAAACAGCTGTTATAAGTGGGAATATTAGTTTTCCCAAAAATTGTAGATACTTGGTTAAGGCAGAAACGGGACGATATGCAACTTTGTCAATATTTAAAAAAATTATTAACAACATTTTAAACTTTTTATTCAGAATTTTTATTAGCTTTTTTGAAATGCAGAAATGCAGCCACTTGTAACTTACATATTACTGTACTAAAAGTAAATAAGCTACAAAACTACATACAAATAAAAGCTTGTAAAAAAATCGAATTAATGTAATTTAATAAACATATGTCAAATTTTGTTTGTGTACAGTATCGTTTGAAATTTGGGTGAACATCTGCTGCATTTTTTGAAGTTTTGTATAAAGTTTTAGAACTGGGTTTATATGGGTTTTGTTACAGAATAAACTGTATTTTAATTGAAAATTATTAAAAATAAATAAACATACATTTATGGCAAACAATATCACTTTGAAATGGGGGTGGTATTGATATGACCGATACTGTATATATCATTATTAATTATAGCTATATAAGCTTTAACCAAAACAAAAAAAATAAATTCATTTATATGTAAAAAAACACAGGAACAAATTGAGTCTTTAGTACATGCAAATTAACTTTGCTCTAAATATTTTAGTTTTGCCTATTAATTAATTTTTCTAGTAGCTTACTTTTTTTTTGCAATATCCTCCTTTCGTTGCGCTCTTTCTTCTTTTTTTTAGCTCTCTGCTCCTTCGCCTCTAAATAATTTAAAATTTTTTCATTGAATGCCTCCTGATTCGCCTCTATTTTATTCAGCGTGTCCTGAAGTTTGTTTCGTTGGCCAGTTGTTTTTCTCTTTGAGTGGGAACAGCTAGGAACATCATCTATAATAAATACATACACATTTACCCCGATGGCGAAAATAATAGAAACGTGAAATTTTGACAAGTTTGGACTATGTTTATTTTGTTTGTTTAATTTATATAAATTTTTTATAAAAGCATAGCTCAATATCTAACATAAACCATATAAATACAAATTTCAAACTTTGTGCGAAATTTAGAGTCATGCATTTTCTTCCATACAAACTATGTTCGAAAATGTTTGTAAGTACATATAGGAATTGCGTTACACCGCCAGCAAAAAAGTTAAGAAGATTTTTCAGCAGCTTCACACTTGTGCTTTATTATACTAAAATTGAATGGGTTATAAAACTCTACTGAATTTTATAATTTTTCTTTAAATATTTTTTGCACAAAGTTTCATATTTGGAGTTATATGGTTTTTGCTAGATATTGAGTTATACTTTTATAAAAAATTCATCAACTTTAAACAAACATAGATGTCAATTGTTAAATTTATTAAACAGTCTGCATATGTGCTGTATTGGCAAGCACGCACTGCGAAAGGTGTGTAAGTCAGTGAGTTTATCTGTAATTCCAAAATGGCACAAATGTATTTCCTATCATTACCTGGAAGCGTTTGATCCAGATCAGAAGCGCTTTCGGTTAACTCCATCTGGTCGCTGGATGTGTTGTCTAAAGTGTACACTGGATTTACACTGTGTTTGCTGCCCAGAATTTCACTTAACTCGCTGAAAATTAATGTAGAAATTGTTAAATAACGGAATAAAGTAATTCTTGTGATACAATTACCAACCTTTGGTAAGGACACATTTGCCGGTTGCTGCCAGTTCTTTTGTTATGGAGCATCGTTTTTTTGTATTGACGCTCAAGGGTTCGAAACTTATTTTCGATTTGCGCACATGAAAAATTGTAACCCTCGAACGCCATACGTTCCTCGATGATGCTCCACATCTTCGCCTTGCTTTTTACATGGACGGATTTGCCCACCTTCGGCTGAAGCTCTTGTAATAGAAAAAGCAACAATTTAGTGGGCGCTTCTAGCCACACCAGCTTTGGACTTTCGCCTCTTTGAATAGGCGTGAACATAGCGTCTTCACTGCTGTCTTGCGCCGTCACTGGTTCGCCAGTAGCCTGTGAGATAGTCCCTGGGTCTTCATTAGGTGCAGACGTGAATACGACTTCCTCAATGTCCGCATGTTTTTCCCTCATCACCTGGTCGAAGATTTGAGTCCTATATGTTTCATCTGGAAAAGACAAAATTATTTTCACTGATTTCTACAATTTCATATTTTAAAGGACCACTTACCGTCTTGCATGCGTTTAAAAGTGCCTGGCGAACAATTTATTTGAAACTGTTTATTCATTTTTGTTTTTTATTAGATTTGGATGTGATGGTCGTGTTTATTTCTTTCTCGCGTTTTTTAAATAAACTTTTGACATTAATGCTGAACTTGACAGAAGTTACAATTTTTTACTAGAAAGCGATCCCGTACTTTTCAATGTTACTCTCTCGCTCTGAGCGAATTTTTATTTTTTGACAGTTTTACTAGTCCGAGTCCGAGGAATACGGGATTGCACCTTGTATAACTGTATATGCACATTAAGGACATTAAACTGATGAAAACATAAATTCTTTTTAAATTGAATGTTTACATAAATCTCATAGTAGTTTTATTTTAATTCTGAGTCCTTTTGCAGCTTTTATACAGCTAAATAGCGCATAAGTTACGTAATTCACGTAGATATATTAATATTTCGTTCAATATTTCGTTTAAAATGCCAGATTTCCTACGAATACATTAGAATTTACAAAAAGAATTTCACTACTAATTGCCTACTTTGCGTACTTATCTACTACCATTTTCGCAACAAGGGATTGTTTTCTTCTCCTTTCTCTGTCCTTCGTAAATGCAACCTTTTGTAAGGGAGTGTCAAGCCGCGGCTGTCAATAATTATCTAACCTTGTATTATTGAATCATGTGGTATACATTGATTTTTTTTTGCCACTGACATCCCTAATGCGAACTGATGTCAGAAAAAAAACAAGTTTTGAAACGCGGGTAACAAAATATTGCGGGACGACATGTAAGCATGCATAATAGTTAGATTTTCATCACATTTTTTAATAGAAATAAATCAACCACTATTGGGAATTAAAAATAACACGTACTCGGTTTGGGTATGGGTATTTGTTATTCTCAGTTTAATATACAAATAGTTGCGGGTGTTTACGGGAGTGTTTATTAGGAGGACGAGTAGTTTATGGAGTTTATTGTCTGCATTAAATAATATAAGTTAATAAGATACAATTTCATGTAATTTCACTTACTTATTTGCNAGGAGGACGAGTAGTTTATGGAGTTTATTGTCTGCATTAAATAATATAAGTTAATAAGATACAATTTCATGTAATTTCACTTACTCATTTGCTAATTTTTCCCGTCAATTTGACGTTGCTCTCAGAAGAACCATCCTATAAAGTCAAATTGAAATTTTTTTTTATGAATTTTGAATCGCTTGTTTATATTTTTTGGCATAATAGTACCTTAAAAGAGAGCCTACCTGAGTTGTCAATCACATCTTGTTTAATACACCTTGGTTACACGTTCAACTGCTCAACATCCCCCCGCCTGTGAATTTGATCGGGATTCACAGATTCACCAAGTACATCTAGTACAGCAAGTTTGGAAGCAGGCCTTCGTAGGTAACCAGCTGATGTCTTTACTGTTGCGGATCATACTTGTCCGTCAGCTGCCGGAAATACCTCAGTCACGATTCCTCGTTTCCATTCACCACGACGTCGTTAATTTGAATAGGCTTTACGAACTGATGCTATCTAGTTCGGCGCGTAAGTTTTGGAAGGTACTCCAGGACCCATCTCTACCAAAAGGTTTGCTTAAGCTGTTGAAGAATGTGCCACTGCTTACGTTAGCATACATGTTCGTCCAGTGTTGGTGTTTGCACAAAGTTGGGACCACCAAGTAGAAAGTGGTTCGGTGTTAGAGGCTCGGAGCTGTCACTTTCTAGCGGTAGATGTGTTAAAGGACGCGAGTTGACCAGATTCTCAGCTTCGATAAGGAACGACATTAGCGTTTCCGCTTGTGGAGCCTTCTCTTTTAGCACAAAGGACAATACACGCTTCACGGAGCGAACCATTCGCTCCCATATTCTACCAGCTGATGGATTTGCAGGGGTTTTAAATACCCACTCCACACCACCAGTTAATGTTATTTTTTTGTTTTTTTATACGTTGCACATTAGTGTAAAAAATGTACAATTAAAGCCCATAAAAATAAGGAAGAAACACATTTTTTTCATTAAGTTTCGTTAAAAGGTTTCCACGGATACAGCACTTTAAAGAAAGGTATGTATGATGTTTTCCTAAAATTTAAGTCCCGCGTAAATAGGCAACCTTACGTCATATCGGCAACCTTCAATCTCTTCAACTGTCATCCAAATCTTTAGAGGTCGCACACAAAGGTGGCTGCGGTGAGATGAAATGGAACTAAAAAAATTTCGTTTTAACGCTCCGACGCCTCGTTATAAAATGTGATAAGCCTAAAATACAATAGCGCTGTGGCAGTGGCAGTGACAGTTTTTAAAATCAGCTGTTACTGCTAATATTGGCAGTCCCTGCCGCAGCAAACACAATACGGCGTTGTCAGTGACTGCTTTTTTTGATATTCCCTATTTGTTTGTTCACATTTTTGTTGTCGCCTTTTACGCCTTACAAGTCTATTCTGCACGTTACCGAAGATTTTGTAACCGGAAAATTGTATTACCAAGAAATGTTACCAGTTCTTGTCACCGCGATTCTAGGTACGTTGGTAATGCAGTTAAAATATTCAGCAATTCAGCTATGAAGAATTCTGCAAATCCTGGCATTGCATATTTCATGGGGCAATAATTTGTTACCAGTTTATGAGCTGGTAACAAAATTTATCGGTTACAAGAGTACACAGAATGCGAAAAGGGTTTAAAATTG